TTTTTTTTTTTTTTTGTATTTGATTTTTTTTTCCTTTATTTCTTCGTTTTCTCTGTAGTGTCGTCCCGACAAAACCGGGGCCCGGCCTTCAAGCAGCGACTGGGCCTTCCATTGGCCGACCCCCCAACAATGCGGCGCGTTAACGACAAAGGCCCGCAGCGAACGTATGGGCCAAGTACTGGTGGTTTAAGTATTAAGGTCATGCATACTGCCCAGATCTGTCCTTCATATTCACCCTCCTGACGAGTCTGTGAGAGTTTGAGAAAAGTGTATGTCACAGCGTCCTTTTTCTCGCCCTTCTCTGCCATCTGCAATGATCTGCTAAATGGTGTATGAATTGAACTGAATTTCCAATAACTAGGTTTTCAAAGTGCATCAAAAACTGTCCGCAATAAAAGCTCACCTTGTGGCTGCTATGATGTCTAGACGACGCCAGAAGATTTGTGATAGCACCTACAGTATGTTCCAGCTCCGATGCACCCAGTGCTACCAGGCAATCTGTCAGAGGCCTGAGCTCTGCAACAGGAGCAGCCTTGCTGCGCGGAAAAGCTGACGACATCAAGTTCATTGCCTCCAAACGCCAAGCCTCACGGATCTGCAGATATCCCGTAAATCGTTTATGCAGATGTTCCAGTCAGAATCAAAGTTCTGATAAAATCAACTACTTGAAAATCCAAACCAGGCCTCATAACGAAAAACACAAATCTATGTTGCTGCGTGCAAATTCCCACTCCCAAAATGTTGAGCCACCTCAAAACTTCTGACCATGTTTCACCCTCTTCTGACAGGATTTCCTTCGCCATTCACAATACTCTCTTAAACCACCACTACCTCCAAGCCTCTTTTTCCCACAGCTGCCATCTGCTGCGCATCAAGGAAAAAAGAAACCAGCGTAGCAGCTTTGTCTTTTCCGCTTTCGGCTAGCACCACCAGGCAACAAGTTCCAGGAGGCCGAGCCTGCAAGGAATGAGCTTGAGGTCAACTTCGTCTTAAAAGTTTGCCTGGGAGAGGTCGCACTGGTGGTCAACTTCCGCTCAAAAGTTTGCCTGGGAGAGGTAGAGGTGGTTTCAACAATCACAACCCTGTCGGTCTTCGCGACCTTGAGCATTTTGCGCCCACAGGGTCATAGCACAAGGCAAAGATACGTACGGCTCCCAACTGGATTTTCCTTTTTCTGCCATTCAGAGTCGTCTGAATTTTCTACATTCCAGATTTTCACTCATAATTTTTCGGTACATTGAACAAAAATGAAAGTTCACCACAGTCTGGACACCAATATTTCATGCACTACTCCCAACCCTGCCCCGGGTGGCCAGCATGTATACCGCAGGCCTCAGCCAAAACATTGGGCACAGTGGTGATTTCAATTGGACCTGTTCCGGCTGCAGTCGCAATCAAAAGATGGTGGATGATGCACTTGCAGTGGTGGGTCAGTCTTGTCTCCTGTCCCGTAACTCAGCCACGTCTCTCTCTCTCTCTCTCTCTGTGTGGCAGAGGTGGACAGGGCGGTGGCAGGCGCATAGCAAAAGGGGACAGTGCAGTGGCAGTGCGGCAACGTTCAGGGTGGCAATGCAGCTCTGTTTGAGCATGTTGCAGAGTTGGCAGTGAGGCCACTGTAAAAGGGCACATCCCATGGGAGGTACATGGCTGTTGGGCACCCTCTCAGAGGGTGTTTTTTGAATTGTCATCTAAGAGTTGCAAGGGCATCTTTTAACTAGTTTGACGATCTGGGAGAACAGCTCCACTGTTATGACGATCACATTTGTCCCATCAGAAGTTAAAAATGAGAACGATTGTATCTTGTCATCCATAAACAGTCTCACAGTCATTGTTACTATCACGCTTGGACCATCTTTAAACAATTAATCAAGAATCAGCAATGTACAAGTGACACAATGTCATCGGTCAAGAAGAAAGAAAAATGAAAAAGAATGAAAAGGTCCAGAAGAACATATAAAGCAGGGTCACGCACCTGAGAGATGAATATTGATGGGACCTCTCTGATATATGCTGCTAGTACATCCAGAACATCTGGCCGGCATGCCTGATCACCACACGCTGCCATCTGTGCCCCCAACAAGCATTGAATACCAACATCATCCGCACAGATCAATCAGTGAGTCGCTTAAAAGCAAACAGAGGATGAAATCGTGGAACTGCAGCTCTCCATTCCCAAAACATAGTTGCATGCAGAGGTATCAGGTCATATTCCATCCCCCATTTGCTTGCAGCACAGTACCATTTCACAATGACATGAGTAAGGAAGGAAAAATTGATAGGCAGCGCCACTACGAGCCAAAACAGACAACAAGAGAACAGAGAGCACAAGTGTGCAGATGGAAGGAAGAGAACTAGAGGAAAGCATGGAGGGAATATGAACGTAGTAGGAAGTGCACTAGAAGCAGAGAAGATTCACAAAAAAATGATGTGAAGTTCGAACAAGGCATAGACACACACAGCCAGCAGCAGGAGGTCAGAGGCAATCTCCAACAGGAACACCATTCCTACAGGTTGTTGTCATTCATGGCCTTGTACCACCAACCCACTCAATCTACTTAAAAGTCGGGCCAAGCCGGTGTCGGAGGCCAACACACCTCGTCAACCGAAGTTGACTCGTCGCGGTCAGCCTCCGGGTAACATCAAAGCTGCAACGAAGACACCAACGGCTGCATTAGAAAAGGGTCAATACGCCCGTTGGCTTCCTCGGGCCAAGTCAAGGGCGGAGACAGAATGGTCACTCAGCATTCTGAAGGCAGGATAGCAATCTTTGGACCGGACCATTGCGATCACAAAGGCCAAATTAGTGGAACTCAGACAAAACAGTACTGAAAACCGACCGGGGATTAGTGAGAAAAGAGGGGTTGACCGTTTGGGACCGGACCGACACGGCGGCATGACCGGATCGGGAAAGGAACAATTCAAAATGGCCAAAGGAATGAAAATTAAGAGGGATCCCACACTAGTTTCAGTTTGGGACCAACCCCTCATATTCCGGAATCACGCCTGTCCCAGTCCTGCACTGTTATTAGAGCGGGCCCGGATTATATTTAGATCTTGTGCTATTTTTAGCACGGGACTGACCATTCGTATTCCTGGATCGGGCCTGTCCCAGTCCCATGCCCTTTTTAGCACAGGCCCAGGCCCGGGATCGCAGGACATGGGATCAGTCAGCTGGCTGTTCTTTCCCTATATAAGGGAAGGCTGGTCTCATCGCTAAGGGAAAGGACGAGCATTTGCTGCGGAAGCGCTGCTGGATTCTTCAGAGAAAGGGGTAGTCGTTCTAGCGCGAGCGTCTGCTGGAGGAAGAGCGAAGCGGAGCGCGGAGAGAGTGAGCTTAGAAGAGGTAGGAGGATCAGTGTTGCTCAGGTCACCAGCGGCAGCTAGACCTCGGCCCAAGCCCGCTGCCATCTTTCTCTTTTCCTCCCACCATCTTATTTCTCTCTCTTTTGCTTTGCTCTCCTCCTCCTCCGGCCTGGCTCTACACGCTGCATCATTCCTACCTGTGTCAAGGTCGCTCGTGTGCAGCGAAGCTTGAATGCCCTAGCTTGGGCCGGAACGCGGTGCGGGCTTGCATGGTTGCTCCTGCAGGTCTTGGATCAGGGCCACACACTTCTAGCAAGAACTACAGCGGGGGAGAAGGGTGCACGGCCACGCACACGCTGTTCGATCACACGTTACATGTGCGGGGCCCTAGCTTGGGTTGGAACGTGTTGCGGGCTCGCATGGTTGCTCCTGCAGGTCTTGGATCAGGGCTGCACATTTCTAGCAAGAACTACGGCGGGGGACAAGGCCGCACGCCCACGCATGCGCTGTTCGATCACACATTACAGGTTGTGTGCGGGCCCGCGCACCGTCAGATCACCGATTACGAGGCTGCGCGCCCACGCGCGCGCCGTTCGTTTGCAAATTAGAGGTTGTGCGCACGCCTACGCACAGTCGGCTCACCTATCAGGAGGCTGTGTTCTCTCGGGCGAGCTGTTGGATTGCACATTAGAGGTTGCGTGCACATCCGCGCACCGCTGGATCACTTTGCTGGAAGCTGCGCATCCATGTGCGCGCCATTTAATCACACCTCAGAGGCCGTGCACTCGTCTGCGCACGGACCGGATCACATCTGGAGGCCACGCGCATGATCTTGAACAGTTGGATCACTTTGTAGGCTGTGTGTGCGCCCGAGCAGCGCTGGATGACCTATCTGGAGGCTGCTCGCCCACCAGTGTGCCATTTAATCACACCGTAGAGGCCGTGCACTCGCCCCAAGCCTATCAGATCACATCAAAAGGACGCATGCACCATGGGATCGCTTGAAAGGTTGCGCGAATGCCCTCACGCCATTGGATTACCCATCGAGGAGCAGTGTGCCAACGCATGGGTGGCTGGGTTGCCTGCGCACAGACGAGTGGTCACTGCATTGGTTGCGGGAGACTCGAGACTCGCTGCATTGGTTGTGCGGAGGCCATGACTCATTGCATTGGTTGCACGGAGACTTAGGACTCACTGCAGTGGTTGTGCGGAAACTCGGGACTCACTGCATCGGTTGCACGGAGACTCAGGACTCAATGCATTGGTTGTGCAGAGATTTGGGACTACTTCATGGGCTTCTCATAGGCTCGGGATTCAGTGCATTGGCTGCTCAGAGTAGCTACGATCCGGACACCCGAAAAGGGATCCGGACTGACCGGAGTCTGGAGTCCGGTCCTGGTGTCCGAAAAGTGGTACGGATGGCTGAATAAGTGGGGGTAGCACATTTTTTTTTTTGCGGCTCAGGTCAGTTCCTTCCAGGCTAGGCCGCCGTGCAAAAATACTGGGTGTTTTTTCAAGGGCGGTGTCTGGCATCCAGACAGGGCAGGAAGGAGCCTCTTTTGAAACCAACATCTTCTGTGTTTAGTTTGTGCACCTTTAAACGCGCCTGTATATTCCCCGGATACTACGCTTAGTGCATCCGCGTCCAAACACAAAGGGAAGCTAAACAAAAAAAGAAAAACGAGGTCCCATCTTCATAATGAATCAGCGCCTGTCAGAACGGCCGCCTGCAATGCACAAAAGGCAAAAGAGCCTCATTCTCATTTTGCACATTTAGTGTAGAGTCAAAGGAGTCCCTAAGTGCCCCATTCTTTCTCTGCCTGCCCTTCCTGTACACTTCATAAGGGAACTGACATCTTGTTGCTTATTTCTGTTTTTTTTGTTTCTTGCTTCTTGCGAAAGGGCGTGAATGTGTCCACTCCAATGTGCCCATATCTTCCCAGGATGGGATGCTTCGTACATTCCCACTAAAAACAAACAAGAACAACAGGAGAAGAAAAAAAAAGTGAGCATCCCCTTTCCAGAAAGAAGACAGCATCTCCAACGTATCTAGTGACTTTCTGTCCCTTGTTTCTCCCTGCCCGCCACTTGGCGGGCTGTGTGTGTTGTATTTTCTTTTGCTTCTTTCTAGTGGCCATTGGCAAACCCGACGGAACGATTCAGCCCTCTGTGGCTAATTACACCCATGAACTGTTGAAACGACCACTGAGTGCGAGCCTTGGAGTCTTTGGGCCTCGCTCCACTACTTTCGACATGTGCAAAACGAGAATGAATCTTCCGCTTGAACATGGAAAGATACACCGCCGTGATTCAGGTCTTCTGTGCATGTCGAGAGTAGGCCCTAGATAGGCTGAGCTACGGTGGAAGGGTCACATTGGCTGCACGCCTGGTTGAAGAGCTCATTCAGGCAGCGTGAAGGTTCGAGTCAGGTGGAAGGGCCCTAGATAGGCTGAGCTACGGTGCCGGACTGATCTCACAGGCCACGCTCTTCTCGCGAGTGGCGTATCGACTCCGGATTGCTCACACTGGCTGGGTGTTGGTATGAGGCCGGTACGAGATCGCTCACATTGACCGGGCACAGGCTAAGATTGGCCACACTAATTGCATGGCGGGTGGGGCTGATCCACATAGGTTTGCGCTTTGGTTTAGACTACTTTGTGTTTGGTTGCTCGAGGGTTGAGCTTCCCTCTAACCAGCTGCGTGCTGGCTCGGGACGCCTTGCCTAGCCCAGTGTCAGGCCAGGTTGCTTCACATTGCCTCCTTGTCGGTCTACGACCGTAAGCTAAGGCCTGGCGGAGAGGCGTTGGTCAGTTAACTCATCTACGTGGGAGTGCTTTACAATGTTCAGTGGAACAAATATGAGATAACATGGTGGTGGTTGAAACAGGGCTGAAAACTCTATTCATTTGTTTGAAACATGAACTTGAAGAAAAAGGACTTGGAGACGAACTCAAATTTGGAGTAGAAAATGCAGAAGTTTTACTTGGCCCCGCAGAAGTTTTACTTCAGCCCCGCAGATGTTTGGTGAACCAAAGTGATTTCGCCTAAACAAATTAAAACGATATGTGCAGTAGTTCTACTTCAGGCCCGCAGTCTGGGATGGAATTTTATCTCAGCCTTCGCAGTCCACAGTAATTTTATTTTAGCCTTTGCAGTCTGCCGGAGTATCACCTCAGTCTCTGCACCCCACAAATGCCTCTTCTCAGCCCCTGCAACCACAGGGATTTGGTTCTACCCCTGCAATTCAAGGGAAGGTTTATCCTGACTATAGCCAACTTCAATGTTTATGCCCTGATCCGAGCTGTCCACAAATTTTAACTAACTAGGGGACCTGTTGCGGCTATGCCCACAATAAAAATGGAATGTTTGCCAAGAAGTTGGACTCTCTCTCTCCTCTCTCTCTCTCTCTCTCTCTAACACACACACACACACACACACACACACACACACACACACAAGAAGATGGTGATGGACTCTCTCTTTCTCTCTCTCTGGTTCGCGCAGAGGCTTGCGGATTTTCCACTTTTTTTTTTCCTTCTTTTTAATTGGTCACGGTGGACGATCCTGCTCAAGCCCGTCTACTCCCTCCCTCTCCTGCCTTCCTGTCCTCTCTCTCTCTCTCTCTCTCTCTCTCTCTCTCTCTCTCTCTCTCTCTCTCTCTCTCTCTCTCTCT